TAGCTCTGTTGTTTTGTACTGGGATAGACAGGCACCCCTGTGTGTGTACATACACTATATACACAGCTGTTGACACTTGGTCAACTTGATAATAAACACCTTTTGTTTAAACCTGTGTTCCCAGCTATAGTCTGACCAACCCCCCTCTGGCAGGGCATGTGTATATACATTGAACCTTTACTATTCTCAATTGTACAGTTATGCTTTACAGAATTTCATTTTAAGGACGTTAGCACACACATAAGGAAAATATGAATTTTGATAATTTTGATAATTCATGACAAATTAATAAATAAAGACCGTTTAAATTAGTAATAACTGAAAATATTCATAGTTTCCTTATGTTCCCAGCTCTAGCCACGTGGAGGCCTCCTTAAGTGTAGAGCCATGATTTGAATTTTGAAACAAAAATATTAAAACCAAAGGACCGAAAGATGACCGAAAGTTAAAAAATAAAAAAAACTTTAAAAAGATTTAAAAAAAAAAAAAAGATACTGGATCATTATTCCTAGTCAATCTTTTGTTCATATAAAAAAATATTACAGCCAAATGAAAGTTATATATATACATAAAATAAAATAACATAATCCCAACAGCAGCTCCCTCAATTCCTCACCCTGTATCCGTACCAAGTCCTCCAGCAGCTCCCTCAACTATTTCCCCTATTACAATGCACCCTGTACCCGTCCAAGGTCCCCCAAGTGAAAAAATTCCTCAAACAAATCGCTCTAAGAAATCACTAATGAATCAGTGATTTGAAGATGATTTGTAAGTGATGCAAATTCCCATGCAAATGAGCTAACAAATCACTCCTAACAAATTGTAAGCAAATCACCCTGAAATCACTGAGAGTAAATCGTGTAGAAATCACTTCTGTTGAACAAATCGCAACCAAATCACTCCAAATAAATTGCAAACAAATCATTTCAAATAAATTGCAAACAAATCACTTCAGTTTAACAAATCACTTTCAAATCACTCCAGGTGGTTACACACTTGTGTGTAGGATGCTCATGTAACCATCCCTCAAATATTTGAAACACATTTTGCATGCATACCGGTATTTGTTGTATATGAACAAAAAACTTTTGGCAAGTGTATTTTAAAATATAAACTTTTACTAGGATGTGTCCTCATTAAGATGGCATCATGTATTTTAGATATATACACATGTACTTGGCTCCAAATTCAGAATATGATATAAGCATTAATTGTTGACTTTTAGAAGTTGGTAAATGTTTTCTTATCTGAAATACATATTTGTCTAGACACTGAAAAAGCCAGTACTTTTCTGAAGCTTATAGCTTTACATAGATTTTGTTTAAAACATTGATTGCCACCGACTTTGTTGTTGGTAGAAGAACAATAAATTGCATGTGAACATAGGGAATATTAACTGAATCTCAAGAGGAAATGATAGCATAATACAGTTATACATACCTTAAAACTATATTCTGCATGATTATTGAAAAAAACATCAGTTTCAACAAAAGAAGAGAGGTATGAATCTAGAAAAGCACAATGTAGCTCCTTTCATTTCAATTCAAATCTGATTAATGAAAATTGGCGGTATAGTTTCTTATACTGACCAATCAGCAAGCCAGGCAGAAGTTATGAAGTAAATCATTCTCAAATCACTCTGAAGAAGGGCCATGAGATCAACAAATCATTTACAAATCACTTTGAAGAAAGACTAAGTTAACAAATCATCTTCAAATCACTCTGAAGAAAGACTAAGTTCCAGAAATCATGTTCAAATCACCTTGAAGAATGGCTAAGTTCAACAAATCATGCTTAAATCACTGTAACAATTTCCTAAGTTTAACAAATCACTCAGAAATTGTCTGAAATGGGAAAGAAATCACAAGCAAATCACCCTTTTATCATCAACAAATTGTATGCAAATCATAGTCATCATTTTAGTAGAAAGTGATTTAAGCATGATTTGTTAAATGAATTGCTTACAAATCACTGAAACAAATCACTTATAAGTGATTTTAAAGTAATTTGTAGGCAATTTGTGAGTGATTTGTTTGAAAAAAATTTCACTTGGGGGCCTGCATCAGCTCCGTCAATTCCAGCACCCATCCCGAATGCAGCTTCATCAATTCCTCCTGCTTCAGCTCCATCAATTACACCAGCTACAAGCCATCCTGTACCCATCCTGAGTCCTTCAACAGCTCCATTAATTACTCTCCCAACAGGTCCTACAACAGCTTCCTCTGTAGAAACCCCTACATCTCCTCAGTCACCTGTCCGATCTATTACTTATTCAGAACGAATTGCGGTAATTGGTCAAAATCATGTGTCAGAATTAGGGAACAGTGTAGCAAATGGTTCTGTGAATTTTAAGTTGCCAAATGATTATTGTGTTAAATTTTTCAGTGACAAAGATACTACAACAAAAAGCTTTATTTTAATATAGTCAATCTTTTGGAAGAGCAGTTGAATTTTGTCCAACAAAAGTGTTTCTACAAGTGGGAGAAAAAGATATAAATTCATCTTCTGACGTATCAGAAATAGTGTTAGGAATCCAAAACATTATTGAAAAACTGTTAAGAAATGATTCGGTTCAAAAAATATTTATTGGAAGTCTGTTTAGGCAAATGATTTGTGGTACTATGGATCCAGGAAAGTACAATTCTACGGTTTTTGATATAAATAACACACTCCGGAGGAAATATGGAAATTCTCAGAATGTGATATTTTGGAGATGTAGGGGTTTAATGAATTCGAATAAAAACATTTGGCATGTCAATGGGATAAGTTTGAACAGAGAGGCAATGGAAATTTTTAGTCGACAGATTCAGCTTGCAATGAAATGTAAAATTACATAAAATACATGTGCTTGGAGATGATCAAATAATTTCATCTTTCAACCAGTTCAGACAGACATTTTTCATAGTTAAAATTCCATCAAAACTTCAGTTCTTTTATTTTGTTGTGTGATTTTTTTCTTCTTTTTTTTTCTTTTATTTCATATTTGTTGTGATTTAAAGACAATTCAAAATGTAAATAACTGATGTAAAATAATTTTTTTGCTAAGAAAAGAACATAAAAAAGTTACTTTGAAATAAAATATCTATATATTTAAAATTGATATGTTATTTTAATTTACTATTTATTTCAGGTTTCAGTATATTTTTCATCTTTTGACTTTGATTTATTTTTTGTTGTATTTTTAACATATAAGTAATTATTATTTTTATTTTTAATTATTATTGTTGTTTTGAACCTTTGAATTTCAAATTTTTATATCCCTACATTCAGAATTTGTCTAAAATCTCAAAAATAAATTCAGTATTTTCATATTTTGAATTTTATTTATTTTTTTTGTTCTCTTTGTAACAAATAAGTAATGAATTATCTTTACTATTTTTTTTTTTGGTTTATGTTGCTTCGAAGCTTTTGGATATTTTCATATCTATAAATTCAGATTTTCTCTTAAATATCCAAAATGAATTTTTTTTTTAATTATGGCTCTACAAAAAGGAGGCCTCCACGTGGCTAGAGCTGGTAACATTGGGATAATATGAATAATAATTAATACACAAATTCATATTTTCTTAATGGCTAACGTCCTTACATTTTTTGGTAAATACTTATTACATAATTCATATTTTACTATTATCATTGTAAAACAAATATAATTGTGGAAATTATTATGAATTATTTCAATATTATCTATACAATTATATTGACAAACAGCTCGCTTCGAATTTAGATCGGGCGTGGTGTACGGTAAACTCGTAATGGCGGCCGATTTCCGTCGATTCTGAGGTAAAATTGGCTATAAAAATTTACGGATGTCAATATCATTCGATTAAACATTACCTTAGGCCTTATTGTACCCCATTACGTTCAATTTTATGGGGTTTCCACCACTTTATTGGGGTTTCACCCCTCCTGTATGGGTATTCTCCAAAAATCGGGGGGTTTCGGGTTTTTCCAGTCACCCGCCGGAAGCCACTGTTGCCAACCAATACCTCTGGCGATGCAATAAGATAATCAAACTTGCCCTCCGCAATAATATGGTCACTGTCTTTACTCTCGCCTGTGAAAAAAAAATGGCTATAATCTTGGTAGCATACTCGTATTATCCGATTGTACCAGGCCCTACATAGTCATAACATTTTAGAGCGCGGAAATGATGAGGGGGACTGTTTGATTTACCTCGACTCTAAAAGTCGAAGATCCGCATTCTTCCCCCCAATGTAATTATATTTAAAAAAAAAAACAAAACAAAAACCTACCTTTGTAAACTGCTTTAACATTTGGAATAGAGTTCAATCTATCCACTTGATCTTGCATTAACGCAATTAAAGGCGAACAAACGATAATCTTTCCGACGTTGTAAGAGTCTAAGTCTGGGGATCTCTGAATCTGCAACTGTTTTCGGACAGGTATCAACATCTGATATGGCAACGACTTCCCATATCCGGTTGGTAAAATTGCCATGCAGTCTTTATTATTCAGAGCTGTCAATAAAATATCCTTCTGTTCCTCCTTTAACGTTTGAATCTTGAAATCTTGCAATACTTTCTCAATAGCATTCTCCAGGTCGGTCGCCATTAACGAAATTTTCCCGAACTTTTTCACAACGAAAAGCGTTTGAAAAAAGCTCTCTGATTGGCTAATCTGAACAATGAATATGCATGACAAGAAGGTCACTGGATTTGACCTACAAATGGGGTTTCGTTAGATCTTTGTGTAGCGATCAAACTGGAGCGGATCAAAGATCTGATTTTAATTAGATTGAACTTGGGTCGGCCATTTTGGCCCCACCCTTGCCCCGGGGGTCATGATTTGAACAAATTTGAATCTACACTACCTGGGGATGATTCCACATGAGTTTCATCTTTCCTGGCCCAGTGGTTCTGGAGAAGAAGATTTTTAAAGATTTTTCCTATATATTCCTATGTAAAACTTGGGTCGGCCATTTTGGCCCCACCCTTGCCCCGGGGGTCATGATTTGAACAAACTTGAATCTACACTACCTGAGGATGCTTCCACATGAGTTTCATCTTTCCTGGTTCAGTGGTTCTGGAGAAGAAGATTTTTAAAGATTTTTCCTATGTATTCCTATGTAAAACTTGGGTCGGCCATTTTGGCCTCACCCTTGCCCCGGGGGTCATGATTTGAACAAACTTGAATCTGCACTACCTGAGGATGCTTTCACATGAGTTTCATCTTTCCTGGCCCAGCGGTTCTGGAGAAGAAGATTTTTTAAAAATGCCATTAATTTTTAACAAATTCATGATTATCTCCCCTTGGAAAAGGGCGTGGCCCTTCATTTGAACAAACTTGAATCCCCTTTACCCAAGGATACTTTGTGCCAAGTTTGGTTGAAATTGGCTCAGTGGTTCTTGAGAAGAGGATGAAAATGTGAAAAGTTAACGCCGACAACGACAGACGACGGACAAATTTTGATCAGAAAAGCTCACTTGAGCCTTCGGCTCAGGTGAGCTAAAAAAAAATGGTTCGACCGAGATTCGATCCCGGGACCTCTCACATGTGAAGCGAGAGACATAGCACTGAACCACGGAGTCACTTTAAATAGAGTTAAGTATATGCAGAACTGAAGTCACATACATGTATATATCCATATTCGGTATTGTCAAAATTTTACACAATCCATGGTGTTTGATTTATTTAGCCTTTATTAAACAGTTCTAATAGACGTAATAAGAACATAAAGTCCGCCGAGAACCTGTTTTATACGCAACAACTCTCCTCAAGCCCCTGTGCTAAAAATAGCGACATGTAATACTATAAATACTAATAAAACAAACGGGGCGGGGCACTTTGAGAGGGGTGAGAGAGGTCCTAGGGAGTTTTGGTATAAAATTATATTGCATAAGCTTAAAATCTTTTTGAAATATCGCCTGGAAATGATAGTGTTACACACAGACAGAATGTATAAATTTACGACCTTGAACTTTGACCTTTTGACCTCAAAATCAATAGGGGACTTTATTAGGCCACAGGGAGTTGGTATGTAAAATTTCATTGCGATGGCTCAAATGGCTCTAGAGATATCGTGTGGAAACGAAAGTGTTATAACAGACAGAATTTGGTTATTTATGACCTTGACCTTTGACCTTTTGACCTCAAAATCAATATAGGTCTTCTTTAGTCCATAGGGAGTTGCTATGCTAAATTTCATTGCAAAAGCTCAAAGGGTTCTCGAGATATCGTGTGGAAACGAAAGCTTTACAGACAGACAGAAAGACGGACGGACAAACCCAAATTAATATCCCCCACTTTTCAAGCGGGGGACAATAAGTAAATGATAACATTGTATATATATAAGTTGAAGCATATTGTTCCCAACACCACACATGCTTGTATATAATCAAAATATTTATATTTTAAAGTGATGAAATATAGATTGCTAATAAATGAAGTTGTAAAGTATATATATAAATTTTACATATAGTTGTATAATTTTTTTATACAGGTAATTTACTTCACATGACATATGTGCACCGTCAAAACGTTACACTGGTCCCTACTGGAAGACGACATAGCCCAAATGTATGGGATATGGATTCCAAATTGGTTCAGGTAAACATAATCTTTCAAAAAAGAAAACTTTTTTCAATATCATTCTTTAAATCTGTACAAAAAGGACAAGCTTTAATAACTGACTTGCTCTGCTTCAGCAATGCTTTTCAGTAGGATTTGGGAAACAGCCTTGCTTGGCGCACTGAATTTACCATCTGTTTTACCAACAACATTAAATCAAAGTACTGAAAGTACTGTTAGACGGAGGCTTCATGTATGAGAGAACACAAAAGAAATATATATGTCATACATTGCTGTAAAGAATATTATGAGAAATAATGTGTAGTTTTTTTTTTTCAATTCAACATTTTTTTCAAAGGATACTCCAATATTCATGAGGTTTTTGGGATATTATAATTTCATCTTTGTAATGTAAACTTCGCCTTGATTAAAGTTCACTGTTATTTAGATGAGATACTTTCAATATTAAACCTTTCAAAGTAAGAAACAGTAATTGACTAGGCCTGGTTGACATAAAACTTAGACGGGCTAACTTTTTATCCCAGTCTCACTTAAGGAATATATAGTGGAAAAGTGAGACTGAGATCAAAAGTGAGCTTGTCTAAGTTGTATGCCCCCAGGCCCGGTTTGATGAATGTAGGTTTAGTATGTTCTAGTCATGAGCCCACTGGCGGAATTAAAAGGGGCCCCTGGCCCCTTAACTTTTGAGTCCAAAAAATACGCAATATTTGATAAATGAGTGTTTTAATTGTGGCTGTGGGCCCCTTCCCTGACCTCAAACTGGTCCCCCTATTTGAGAATTTCTGGATTCAGCACTAGGCCTCAGCCTTTCAGGAGTCTCCATATTTCTAGATATCTTATTTATAGGTCACAGAGACCTACTGTTAACATAATTATGACATGTAACAGCTACCAAAATCAAAATTTCTCAGCCTTATTGTAATAATGTTATGATATGAGCTAACATGGAAAAAGAAGCAGCCAGGTAATTGGACATGAACAACATAATATAGTACAGTTTGTCTTAAACCTTTGTGATACAAAATGGGGTGACCTAGCTTGAAAACAACACAGAATTTTCTTTAAGTAATACAACTTCATTAACATGCAATAAATGTTCGTGCCAGAACTCAATTTTTTGAGTGGAATAAAATATACTTTCTTACTTTATGTACACAGAACAATCAGGTTCATAAGACTTGCTATTTCACAAGTTTAAATTGTTTTTGGAGAACTGGAGTATTGCTTACAATAACAAAGATATATCTTGACAAATTTGACAACCAATATTTCTGGAATTATTAAATGTAGTATTTTATCATATGACAGATTAACCCAAAAAATGTCTTTCTTTACTCGTATACCAGTGGAAATGGTTGTCCTTTTCAGTTTATCTGTTTAAAACAATCATTAACAATGAGACATGATTACAAATTACGTAGAGAAAAGTTATAAATATATAACTATGATTTCTGCTTTTCAGTTAAAACAATCACTGTACCAATGATGTAGGTTAAAAAAAATTGACATGAATACCAATGATCAAAAATACATGTAATCTTGTATATAAAAAATAATTAAAGTTTGGGATGTGAAAGAGGTAAAACACAAGTATCAAATGCAAATAAGGATCAACGATATGACAATAAGACAACTTATTTCAGAAGATATGATTTTTAATTATCAATTAGGATATTATGTGATAAATCATGTAAATCCTATGAACCAAGATTTGGGTTGTACCCAAGGGTCAAACGTTACAAATGCATTTTGATCTCAATATCAGAGTTGCCGTTTGTTTCTCTCTTATCTAATGTGAGGGTACCCCAAACACTCAAACCGCTTGTAGAAAGTGTAAATCTATTTTCATGTGTTTCCTGAAATTATACATAATATCAAATAAACAATTCAAAACTAGACTGTTAATATTCCTACATATAAAAATACTATGCATTTGTTTATTCATCGATCCTTGTCAGATTAAAAAACTCCATGAAACCTATTGATGCAAGCGTCAAAAATCGGCCGCAAACCAATTTATCGGTCCTTTCAAAAAGAAATTAGAAAAGGAATGAAAATGAGATTACAAACAACAATCAAGCACAAAAAATTCCATTAAAACTGAAATGCTTGATCTATTATTAAAATATCTTATATTTATACCTGCGACATAAAACATTTGCATGCGACATAGCAGGATTTTCTTCAATACATAATACAGGTACATCTGCGTCTTCACACTTAGTTTAATACACAGGCGAATTCTGGTGGAAGTTTTTACAATTAAATATAAAACTAAAGTTTAAACTTATCTGTTACTAGAGATAGTTTTTTATAGGATTAAACGTTCTTTTTGAAAAATTTATCGATGTGTAAACTCTTGACATTTTACTCACAAACTGAATAAAAGTGCGAAGCACTTTTATGTTAAGTTTGTGAGTAAAATGTCAAGAGTTTACACATTGATAAATTTTTCAAAAAGAACGTTTAATTCTTATAATTCCAATATCGAATTTTTAAAAATATTCAAATTATTTCTCTTTGAGGCCTCCATACAATCCGTTAGTTCTGGACGGCGTAGGAATACATTTTACCGCAAAGGAACGTAATCGAGATGAATTTCGATAGAGTTCAGCTTAAATTGTCAAAACAATCGATAAATAAACTTATAAAGACTTATCGAATGTTGTTTAAGTAAAAAAATATCGTAATTACGAGTTTACTTCAGAATAGTTCGTCCTTGACCATGGCCATGTTGACATAAACGACAACTCTCATAGCGAAAGTTGCAGACCGACGACGCCTTCGATTTGCACTTGTTTGTTCAAAGATTGAGGAACAATATAGAAAGTAAATATGAATTTGATGCTTATAGGGCAAGAGTTTGAGGTACGTTTCTTTTCCCTGTCTAAACGATACAAACTGAGTTGATTATCTTCGTATTATGAACGTTGAGACAGCGATTTTTAAAATTCACACTCGTGATCGAACAGTGACATTAACATTTTCATGGCGTCCGTCAGCTGGGCAGCTTAGCATGTCGC